GGCTATGGGCCTGAGTACAAAGTCCCCCAACAAACTCACCCTTGAGAAACTCTCTCTAACAAACTCGCCCCATGCCCGACTATACACAGTCTCCCCCACCACAACCCCTCTCCAATGTAATACTTTCCCACTAACAAATGACAGAACCAGAAAGTCAGTGCCATATAAATGTGGAAACATTAATTATGATAATTAACATTTTTTTTTATTGTTTCATTCTGTAAATATAATAATGATTATAAATTTATTACCAATATGAATATACCGTAATTTATAATGTATGACTAAAAAATGCCAAGACTACTACTGTATATACATTCGATAGTTAACATTTTAAAGAAAAAAATGTCGATACGACCCTCCGTTAAGGAGTTATGATTCTTTAAGTAACATGACCTCCGAAAATATGGCCGGCACGCTAAATGATATTTGGTCGAACAGTGAAATAATGGCAATGTGTGTGTTAACACTACATAAAATTGGTCTTCCATTTTTCAGTTAAGTTTTGACAGACTAAACAAATTTTCAATTTTTTTTTTATTCATACAGTACGTAGATATATCCTTTGCGAACATTTTAATTAAAAATTTATGTTGACACGACCCTCCGTTAAGGATTTATGATTTTTTAAGTAACACGACCTCAAAAATATGGTCGCAATGCTATGTTATTTCTATTGGTAATGCTTCGCTGCTCAGCACTGTTTAGCCTGGTTCTCACGAGAGCCCTAGTATCCGGATCGGGAGCTAACCGTTGGCACCTGCGTGAGAACGCCCGATTGGTTAGCACTAACCGTTAGCGGTATCCGGATACGCTAACGGTTAGCAAGCGCTATCTGTTAGCAAGTTGAGGGTCATCAACCATTCACACGTACGCGTTTACAATTTCCAGTTTCTTATTGACCAGTGATTCGATCATCATATTGTTGGTATCTGGATTGGGATTTTCTCGCATGGATGCACGGCAGCTAACAGTTAGCAGGATCCGGACTCTGCTAACAGTTAGCTGCCGTGTGAGAACATAGCCATAGTCAGCGATCGAAGATGTCTACTGCAGCGTGAAAAAGGCCTATTCGGGAGACTCCCGATCAGGGTTGGAACATTCACACATTTACACCCTCGTCGTTCTTTAACCCCTGAAAAACAACTGTGTAATATCAAAGAACTTAAATAGCAGAAGAATGAGCTGTTCCGCGTATTTGCATTAAAATCGATGGAACATCCGCCCTCCAGCGGATGCAGGAAAATTTGAACATTTTACTAAGTGGAGAAACTGCAGGAAACAAGCGAACCAGAGCGGCGCCTTTATTATTACTATATAGCACCGTCGCGCGGATGCAGTAAAATTTTTCTCTGTGTACCCACAATGCATTTCGACCGGATGTTCTACTATTTTGGGAAGCTGCTCTATCTTCTGCTATTTATTATCTTTGGTAATATGCACTTGACTCAGCTCCTGTGGAACCAGTGATAATTTTTTTTTTCTGTTTTTGTTGTATTATAATTTTATAGGCCCAAAATGGCTGAAAGTATGGAAGCGCATCATCAACTCTATGGGGGTGCAATGGCAGTAATTTTACCAGCCAATTTCTTGGACTCCAGGTAAGAATAAATAAAAGCTCATTGTCAGGAGGAGGAGACAGGTCTCTACCCTAGCCTAATATTAGTTGAATTGGATTGGATACATTTGGTGTGAACAGCAAGGATAAGACACAACAGCTCAAAGAATTATTTACAGAGGTGATAGTACTGGGGCAGTACGCTGGGAGACAAAATACCTTACTGTTTTCCAAAGAGAATGTACTGTGTTCTTTATCATGCACTTGGGCTTGGCCATATTGCACATGAAATCAACAGCTTGAACGGTTTAAAAAAAAATATAATACATAAAAAAGATGTGACAAAAAAAGTGCCATGACAAACATTGTGTCAATGACGCAGCCCCAGGCCCCTACTCAAAAGGGCATATGTGCTTTCTGGGGCCTAGTCCCAGTGGGCCCTGGAGAGGTCATGGGTGCCCCTCCTAATACTACCCAGCACTCTACTGCAACTCCTTGACAATACAGTAACTTTTTGTATATTTTTCAAAAAATCAAATAGACCAAAATTCCAGAAACACACTCTTTGGCAGATTTATTAACAAGAGGCCCCCTTCTTCTACAACCCACCATTTTATTATGAAGCTTTGACCAGGATGAGCCCCATGACTTGTCCTTACACCACTGTGCAAACGAAGGAGCAGGTTTCAAATTGAAGTTGTAAAGAAGCTGGAAATGAGTTTCTTACCTTCTAAGAGGTTATTTAGTTCAACTTTCAACTTTCTATAATCCTAACGGTAATTGAAAGTTTTGTTAAAACAAATTGATAAAAAAAAAAAAAAAATAGCATCTGGAGTATAATAACCAAAAACATAATAATAATAATGACGTAATTTCATCAAGCTGCAAAAGATAATAAATAAAAGGATGATAATATAATGGCTGTAGCAGTGGTGGTACCAGCTGGGGCCCATGAAGGATAGGGGTGGAGGCAGGGGCAAGACCGTCATTGAATTTAAAAAGTCTGCTGAATGCCTGCTTAAGGCAGGCAACTGTTTGAACACACAAAGTCTTGAGAACATCCTTTGTTTCTTTAACTCCCAATAATAAAATCTTCCTCTATTTTATTTTTTTTTTTAGTAAAGTTCGTCAAGTACCAGACAACCAGGAGATTTTTATGCACCCATCAACTGATCAAAGTATCATCATAGAATTAATGGAATACCAGCAAGTCGATGACCCCTTAGCAGCCAGGTGAACACTCAATGGACTGCTCTGCTAAGCCCCTGCCTCGGGACACAAGTTGCTCATGAGCATAAGACCCCAATGCGGGCTGGATGGCAGAGCATTTATGGCAGAGGCGTCGCAACACCTACAGCCATAATATCGCCGGTGGTTCTAACGATACACTGCCTATGGTTCTCATGGTGGAACAAGTTTTCTCGGATGTGTACTATAATCTGTAGGCCCAGTGTACAAAATTTAGCTTGTGTGCACTTTAAAAAAAAACCCAGTACATCTTTCAAGATGAGTAGTGGGTTACCCTGGAGTACTGGTTTACCGTGTATCTCGGACATGATTTACTGTAAGACCTATTCCACACCTCAAGTGCTTTGAGACCGTTTTGGTATAAAGAGCTATTTAAATCTAACTACATTATCTTAAAATACCAAAAATGACCATTAAGTTTTCATGTGGATAGGGAATTAGTTCTGCATTTTCACACCCCACCCTCTTCCCATCCCCCAGGCCGAAAGTATTCTATTCCCCTGTTGCTGAGATCCCTCAAAGCAACAGTCATAACATAGAGGGTTTGTAAAATAGTGTGTGTGTGTGTAGGACTCCCAGCCCTGTATTGTTAGTACAGTAGTAGCAGCAAGAGGCTAATTCAAACTGGTCCCATGTCGGCTCAGGCAGCCAAAGAGATTCCCAGGGAGCGAAGGTGCTTACGTGCATGACTTCCTTCGATCTCTAGTGGCATGAAAGGGGGACAGGCAAGACAAGTTTGCTGGGGCACCTGCAGCATTATGCCAGGCCATTAGGAAATGATTTATAAAAAAATGTCATCCATTTTCGTTGACTAAAATAATTTTTAATTACTCATCTAAATACCAAGGCGGTAGCCACTTAGGGATATTTCCCCAATCCCTGTATTAAGCTCTGACCTGACTGGAGCGCTTTGGTAGCCCAGACTTGGCCCCGTGGGGTGTAACTTTGTATATGCTTTGGTGAAATGTATGATGTTTATTTGTTATTATAAATTGTTTATGATGTTATAATGCACTTCAACGAAAGATTACTGTATGAGAATTATATCTGTTTTTTTAGATATCACTTTGAAGACATAGCAGGTGACAACGATTCATCATCTGTTGAAATAATATCAGAAGAAGTTGTCCCTCTTAGTGAAGTCACAATGAAACAGTAAGTCTAAGGCCTAGTTCAGACTAGGTGGCACCTGCCAGTCTGAACTAGGTGGCTTATCTCAAGCCAGGCTGTGTTCCTATAGTAACTAGGCCTGGTGTGCCACCGTGTTTAACTTTTCTAAGCCGGGCTTTAATCGTTGCGGGGTCTTGCATTGACTATGACCAATCTGTATTCAATTACGTACGCTGTGAGCGAGCATACGTTTCGGGAGCAATGTTTTGAAACACGTTTCTTGGTCACGGTTCATTATTATGCATATGCTTGCGCCTCCTGTCTAATCCCGCTAGTCTGAACGCCCGGCTAAGTTAAGCCGGGCTTAATTCAAGCCTGGCTTATCTCCAAGTCTGAACATAGCCTAAGTCAGTGTTCAGACAAGAAATATGCCACCTCTAACTTCAACACCAGATGTATACTAATCCATGATTTAACTAGCAAATCGTACAATCTGTTAATTAACCATAGTCTTCGTAAAACCTAATAATGTGTTTTTATTTTCGAAGGCCACTAGAAAGTCAAAGGTCAATAGAATTTGACCTAACCTGGCTTTTATGAATCCCATGTTTTATGTATGACATTTGGTCCCGTACCATATGTAACATGGAGGTTCTACTGTTGGCCTAACCTGGATTTTACGAATCCCATGATTTTTGTGTGCTCTTTGGTCGCTTTCCATACATAAAATGGAGGTTCTACTGTAATGTTTTTCATAAGTGTATTAATATGTCAATGTGAATGAATGTTACTATGGTGATGTATGGTTTATAGTATTGAAAATGTGTAACCATGGTGATGTACATAATATATTGTCATAATGAGTAAAATACCTTTACGGTTTTAAAGATATCCACCAAAGTGTTGTTTGTTATCATGGTAATGGTCATTCTGCATGTTCATTCTATAGGTGTGCAAGTGTTTGGTTGCTCCATGGAAAACAGATGGTGTCAAAGTTTAATGAGGAGGTTGGCTTTTTTACACTGTTGTTTTGTGGGACCTTGTCAACAATGTCTAAAATTCATGTGTTGTCCACACCCAACCAACACCAACCACCCCTACCCCACTGTTGGGGTGGTTGGTGTCGTTTCAGACTGATAACATGCAGCTACAACTATTTGTTTTACATATAATGCATGTCATGAAAAGTAATTGTAGGCCTATAATAAACTGATAAATCATCTGAATAAACATTGAGACTATGTGGTTACTTGTGGGACAGTATGATTTGGGATTTAATACATAAGAACCTGGTATAAAGTAAATAGAAACAGAAATATTAAGCTTAAATTACAATTGGTCATTAGCACCATTCTTAGTTCATAACCGTGCGAGACTACTTGAACACATCTATAAAGTAGACTTGGGTATGCCATAATATTAATGACCTAGGAGCTGAAGCAAGATTGACCAGTTGGGAAGGGCCATATGCAAATAAATTCAATAGCTCTATCAATGCAAAGCAGGCAGGCAGGAATTACAAAACATGTACTTAGAGATAGATTATGCAGGTGCGCAGAAATAAAAAAAAAATGCATTTGAAAAAGGACTATAGAGAGTAAGCAAATGCAATAATTGCTAATATCTGTTATGTAAAAGTTGAATAACTTAAATTAGGAAAGGATGCAGATTGTTAAATAGCTAATAATAAGCAAATGCAATAATTAATAATATTTATTATGCAAAATATGAATTAAATTTGAAAAAGGATGCAAATACGTTAAATAGATACTTTATAATCTTTTACAAATTGATAATAGCCTATCCTACAAAAATTGATTAGATTAAATTTGGAGAGGATACAAAGGATGCAAATGCATTAATGGATAATATCGTTATATTATACTAATGCAATGATTGTTAACATATTATGCAAAAATTTAAATGAAGTAAATTTTGAAAGGATGCAAATGCATTTATAGACAATATCGCTATATTTTGCAAATGCGATAATCAATAACATCTATTACGCAAACATTGAATAAATTAAATATGAAAAGGATGCAAATGCATTTAATAGATAAAGTCTTTGTGTTATAGAAATGCGAAAATTGATATCTATTATGCAAAAATTGAATAATTTAAATTAAATTTGGAAAGGATACAATTGTATTTCATAGACAATATCTTTGTTGTACAAATGCGATAATTGATATCTATAATGCAGAAATTGAATAAATTAAATTTCGATGGATGCAAATGCGTTTAATATGATAGTACTTAAATATGAATAAGTACGCAAAATATAAAGCGTAAATTATTTCGGAAATAAACTAGATAAAGTTTATTCATTAAGAACGGACCGTTATGCAAATAAGTTTGATAATATGAGAGCATTCATGTATCACCTATCTTAGTAACCGTGCGAGACTACTTAAACATTACTATTAATTAGAATTGGATATGTAATAATATAAAAGACCTAAGAGCTGGAGCAAGATTAACTAGTTGGAAAGGGTCGTATGCAAATAAGTTCAACAGTAGGCCTATGTAAAGCAGGAATTCAAGCATGCACTCTATAATAGAGCTTAATTATGCAGGTGCGCAGAAATGTAAAAGATGCAAATGCATTAATAGATAACATAAATTCAACAAATGCGATAATTGATACATCTATTATGCAAAAAATTAAATTTGAAAAGATACAAATGCATTTAATATAGTCTATATTATACAAATGCGAAAATTGATCTTATTGTATGCTATAATTTATTAAATTAAATTTGGAAAGGATACAATTGAAATGCGATAATTGATAATATCTATAATGCAAACACTAAGTTAAATTTGGCGAGTTCAAATGCATTTAATAAATAATATCAATATGATAGTGCTTAAATGTATACCTGTCTCTTATACACATCTAGTAAAGTATTTTGGCAATGAAGCTAGAACAATTTTATTCATTCAATTGGAACGGACAGTATGCAAATAAATTGGATAGTATGACAGCATTTCACGTATCATCTTTCTTGGCATAACAGTATTCAAATAAGTTTGATATTAAAATAGTACTCGCGTATCTATATTATGTAAAAATGGAGTAAATTAGATCTTAAATACGCAAGTATACGCAGAGATTTAAAACGCACTTGAAAATTAACTATAAACAATAATGCTTGATAGATTATATCTATTTTTCGAAAATAAATATTAAATATATAAATCTAGTAATATTAGTATAAGAAAACGATGCTTCATAGTTTTCCAATGCAAGTATGAGCAAATTTAGTCAACAGCAGTAGGTATACAATATATGCAAACATGAATAAAAAACAAGCAAATCTAAAATCTGGAATTGAGACTGGGACGGACCCAAAAAGGGCCCCTAGTTTCAGATAGCCACAAGGGCCCCAGCCCCATCGTTATACCACTGCATCCTATATTTGGTCGTGACCCCTAATTTGAATAGGTATAGAGCATTATATATTTTTAAGCTACATTACATATATTTTTTTTCATCTGCAGGCCAAGAATACGTTGATTGTGTATATAGCTTTATTCCGGCTACCCCAGTATACTACGGATATTTTAGTGACCTTTAATAACCCTATGCAAATTAGGTGAGTTAAAAATGATAGAATATGCTTTATATTACAATACGAGTGCAACATGAAACCCAGTGCATAACAAACTTGTTCAATGCAATCAACATGGCATATATACACCATCAGACACTACTATTAATGTGAAAACTATAAAAATAATTTTCCACCTACTTAGCATAGTATTGTAGATAATAAGAGAGTGTTGCATAAAACTTTAATACAAAACTCCTCTATCATTTATTCATTCTTTATTCAATAACATAAGCAAGTGAAAACAAAACAAAAATGAAATTTGACAAATACTTGGGAACCTAAAGTTGGCTAGGATTAACTATAGTGTGAAAAACACTCTGGCACTCTGGCTCTCAGGCCTGTTAATCTGGTCTTAGGAAGTTCTGAGGACATTATTTTTTGAAAAGTAAAATTCTGAAGCCCTGTTGGTCTAAGGCAATTTGTAAAGGCTATGTTTCCTATAGTTCCTGAAATGAACTTGGGAACCTAATGTTGGCTAGGATTTACTATAGTGTGAAAAACACTCTGGCTCTCAGGCCTGTTAATCTGGTCTTAGGAATGTTAATCCGGTCTTAGGAAGCCCTGTTGGTCTAAGGCAATTTGTAAAGGCTATGTTTCCTATAGTTTCTGAAATGAACTTTACAATAATTGCTTTTTAAGTCAGCCTTCTTTTTAATTAGAGTGTTTATGGATTGGTGCTTTGAAGGGCTTTGTTAAGTATAGAGTCAGAGCAACAATTTTAAACATGCACATTAAGACCAACAGGAAACCTTAATCAGTTGTTCATTGCATGTTCAGTGGCTTTACAATTCTGTCACCATGAATTGTCTTGTACTGTATGAGTTAGTACAAAACGAACAACATTAAATGTGTGTACTCAGTTGATTGAAGGTACCATCAGGGCTGTAAAAAGTTAATTTTTTTTGCTGGACCAAGGTTCTGGTCCTAAAATAACTGTTAACACTTATATATCAGCTGTTGAATATTGCTCTAGTTTTAATGTATTTTTTGCTAGCCCAGCCCTAAAATACTCAAATCCCGGACCCAAGACCACCAACTTTTTCCATTCCTCGCAACATAATGATTATTGTGTTTACAAGTGTAATATCTCTTGGTAGAGGGCAGCATACCTGTCAACATATACAGCTGTTCTCTGATAATTATACATTTTTATTTTTTAAAATTGCAATGTGCATATGTTGATAATTATGTGGTTTAACAAAGTATATTCAAAGAAAATATTGTTAGATTTATTGCGTTGCAATCATAAAGTTTTAAAAATATTTTTTCCAGCCCAGAAAGCAGCAGTAGTAAACTGAACAATCAGCAGGATTCCTGGACGATGGCCCAATTTAAGCAAGTCATCTGCAGCCTAAATCTGATTGATTCTTCGCTGTTGAAATCCTAAACAATCATGTTTTTAAAACATGAAAATGAAATGTTGGCTGAAAAGCAGGCAACCAGCATGAACAGCGCCCTCTGAAGATGGAGCAGGTCTTACTAAAATCAAGGACTTATAACTGTTACCAGCTTAAACCAGCTGACGAATTGTTTTGAGCTCCCTAAACTAAAGAAGGAACCCTTCTCTTCTATGAGGGACCTACCCCCTTGCTCCATTGATTTCCAAATTGTAACGTTACTATTGGGGCTAACATGACTTCGTAGCATATTAGTTAGGCTATTATGTGCTATAGGAATGGGTTGAAATAATGCTTTGGCATTAGATTGTTACACACTAGTACTAACATGATTTCTGTAGCTTTTTTTTTTTTATCTGTGATGGTACCAGAATTTGCCCAGCTGTTGCAGAAGCATGTATTGTATTCCCAATAAATCATGGTAAAAAGGCTACATATATATTGGCTAATGTGAGGCAATTGCTGAATGCATAAACAGTGGTATATTTAGTTGGAGTAGTGGGGGATGCCTGGGGCGGATGCAGGGTTGTGACAGTGCAATCACACCCCCTATATTATATTAGGAAAAATAATTGTATTATATTGTTGATATGAATTACTGGTATGAGAGTGCATTTTCTGGGCTGCTAGGTTCATGTTCTCCGACCATGCTGGGGCAGATTGGTGATGTGGACTCTCGCGCGCCACAGGAGGCGAAGGTGGGAGCTTGATGATTGAGGAGGTACCAGCTCACAAGCTAAGGTGACATGAGGTAATTTTTACCTATTTGAGTGTAATTTTTTGGTTCTGACATTTTCAATGGGGGCCCTGACTGGGGAAGGGGGGTGAGGTTTTTTGGGGATGTTCCCCCTTAGATATCCCACTGTGCTTAAATGTGTTATGCCAGCCAAAGTAAACTATTATTAGACAAATACAACACATTTGTTTGTTTTCTTTAGTCGTTTATTGAAGAGCCTTAAGACTAAGCCACACATGGCAAAGCATTTTATATTGTATTTGGCAAGAGACAGTTGAATACATTTGTACTATTTTTTGGTTTCTTTTACTACCTAAAAAATGCAGAAAGTTTTGTTAGCATGAAAAAAATATTGCAAAACTTAAACATAAATTAAGTAACCATATATTTAGAACTAAAGTATAGCCTGTGTTCCAGGTCCTAATTTGGATTTACTTAGTAAATACTATAAATTATTTCACTGAGTGTACACCATACCGGAATTTAATAACTTATATAGCACATCATGCAAAGGCCTCTATGCACTTCAAATTATTAATAACAAACACAAACTCAGCTCCCTGGGAAGTATTCCATTAGGCGCAGCACTCCATCTTACGACCGTTGTATGATGAATCAAACTCCTCGCCCTGTGAGTGCTAGTCAACGCCTTCTAGTTGATTGTCAATGGCAGTCTGAACGGATCGTCGTTAAAAGCGTGCGTCATGGCGCTGCATTCTCCATTGAATTGCGTCGCCAGGTGCAATGAGTCTCCGGCTTAACTTTGCAGCAGCTTATCACCACATTTGGTATTTTACCCCTACCCTGTAATCTGAGCCAAACCCCCCCCCTTACCACTAGATTTTAAAATTTCAAGGCATATATTGAAATTAGTGCTCTCACTTATCTATTCTGAGTATGTTGTGCCCCCCGTTTGAAAAATTATGGATCTGCCCCTGTTTAGTCTTAACTTAAAATAAATAAATGTCTTAAATGCATAAAACTTTGTAAAGCACGAGAAACGATGAGAAAAATCTGGCAGTAATAAAACCCTATTTCAATAAAAACTTAATGGTCTTTTTTAATATTTTATCCCACTTAGTGGAACTAATTTGCTGTCATGAGGGTGTGCATCCACGCCATGTTGATGATAATCATTGTGGCTCCCTCAGCAAAAACTATTGGACAAGGATGCTTGGCCATGGAAGTCAATTGTGTTAAAAACATTTATTGCAAATCTGTACTACCTTACTGACTATAGTATATAATTACAAAATATATAAATAAATTCCTTAACCTGTCATGGCTTATGGTAGTTATAAATATTCTGCATTACTTTTTAAAAATTCATTACTACTTAGCCTTTTTTTTTTTTTTTTGGTCCGACTGCCCGACGAGCTTTGGCCAATGAGGGGGGCTTGACCAGACCGATGGGCTTGACCAGACCGATGGGGGGCTTAAGCCCCCCTGCTGGCGCCTCCACTGATTCAGGCACAGGGTGGAGGCTGTCTCTTATACACATCTAGATGTGTATAAGAGACAGTAATCATTGTGGCTCCCTCAGCAAAAACTATTGGACAAGGATGCTTGGCCATGGAAATCAATTGTGTTAAAAACATTTATTGCAAATCTGTACTACCTTACTGACTATAGTATATAATTACAAAATATATAAATAAATTCCTTAACCTGTCATGGCTTATGGTAGTTATAAATATTCTGCATTACTTTTTAAAAATTCATTACTACTTATTAAATTCTTTAAAAAGCAGACTAATAAAAAGGAATTAATAATTTTCACTAAATTCATTTTATCTTGTATATTATCAATAGCAATTAATAACTGGTAACAGCACACATTTTTAATATAAATACACATAGTATTTATTGATCATAATTTGGGGTTTTCCGATGTATAACTACACACCTTTACAATTCTAGATAACAATTGGAAGACAGATGTTTTAAAAGCGATTTTTACAAAGATACTGGTATTTAAAATATGTAAAAAATATAACATCTAGAAATTCAGTCTCAAAAACTATGTATACCATACAACCGTAATGTAACATTAATGTCTGCAATAATAATTTATTTTTTATGTGTTAAATAAAAAGTACTGTTGTTTGGCAATAGGAATTGTTACCTGTACTAAGAATTTTTTTATAGGAAAATAAGTAGAATAGACAACCTTTAGAATAGACAAGTACAATAGATAACCTTTACGTTAAAAAATACTTTGAAAATAATTATTTGGGTTATGTTTTTAAATTAACTCATTGGTTTATCGGTATTAGTTATTGTTATTATAATTCATTCTCGGTCTTTTCAAATCCTGTTGTCCAAACCCCATGGGCAGAAGTTCCTTCATCGTCATCGTTCTATAGGTGAAGTCGGTCCGCGACAGTATCACTTTATATTCTCCTCCAAACTACAGAACAAAGAAAAGACGTAAAAAAGACCGGTAATGCAGTAAAAAATATTGTGTGTTGCATATAATATCTAAATACCACTCGACTCAAGCCTACGGTACATAATACCAACTGTTGACAAAACCGGTCCCATCCAAGTATTATTGTGAATACAGTATGTCGCTAAACTTCAATCATCTGATGAATGGCCACTTATGTACCTTACTAGACTTCTAAATATATACAATAGTTAATTTAAATAAAATTGTTTTTGGCATTCTAAAAAAGAATCCTCCAATCTAGTCTTTGTGAATGGCAGGAACTGCTATTGTATGTTGGTGTACATTTTCTTTTCACCTTTTTGTGGCAATTTTATTGGGTGTTTTTCTTTAATTTTTGTGATCCTTTTGTCTTGTGCAATAATACACCTTATTCATGCTCTTGGGTTGTTTTTCTTATTGTTGTTTTATTGGTATTTTTATATATTGTGCGCATGTTATTGTGATTTTTTCCGGCTGATGGTTCACTGTAATTTCTTTATTGTTTTTCTTGATGTAAACTTCAATGTAATTCTGTATTTTTAAATTTTGTGTGCTTTTAATTGTTTTTTATGGCTATTTGATGGTTTGTTTTTATTGTATTTTATTGTATTTTACAATGTTAACATCAATGTAGTTCAATTTTTTTACCGCGATTTTGATGAATAACAATACAGTACTTGAATACGTGAATGAGTATGAGCGACACAGAAATTTCGAAAATCTCTAGATTCTTTGATTCCTAGAACAAAAAGTAAATTTTTGGAAATTTAACTAGAACACAAACTGGAAAAGTTCAAGCAAACCATACACTAATAAAAAAAATTAGTGCACAGTTTGGAATAGGAAAATAACATATGGTTGGTTACAGTGATGACGTCCCGATTTAATATGTAATAAATATTGACGCATACCTCATGCATTATTTGTCTGCAAGCTCCACATGGTGCCAAGTCAGCATCTTTGACATCACTGTAAATGGAGGAATATTATTAGTACAGTAGTTGAATGGAGTGGAGTTAAATAGTTTAGTGGTTAAGATACTTGCTTTTAAATCCACTGTCCTTTTGAAAATTCTGCCCACTAGGAGTATCGTACTGTAGATGGAGAATTTTTAGTAAGAAAAGGACTACAGAGGTCATATATATTTAGGCATTAAATTTATGTGCAGGTTTTGGTCCTTAAGCACGAGAGCATGAGACAGACCTCAAATGTGCAAATCTCACACCAAATGCATGAGACTTGAACAAGGAATAAATTTATTAAAGTATTCAAGACAAGTTTCAACAGTTACAAGCAAGCTAGAAACATCTGTTTGTAATATATATAATAATGAAGGTCAATGAGTCTCATAAGAAATCTCATCATGCAGAAGACATACAGTTGTTGAAAAAAAGAATTGTTGAAAAAACGTTGAACAATTTTTGATAAGTTTCTATTTTATTGTTAGAGAGGGGGCTTAGGAAGAGATTTTACAAATATAGTTAGGTAATCCCAGTGGGATTGAGGGGGGGGGGGGGCAGATCCCTGGTGAGACCCTGGAAGGTACGCCCTTTAACGGATTAGAGGACTAATTAATCGATTATAGAGTGCTTAATTTTTACCAGGTCATGAAAAATAAAGTATGGAAACATGAAAAGTAAAAGCTATACAGTATTTCCTCTTATTGAAATGTAGAGCTGAAAAAATTAATAACATATCAAAGTTTACAGTGGCAGATCCAGGAATTTGAAATAGATTGGGGCCAGAGAAAGACCTTCACAGATGGTGGGTCCATCTACCTCGGCTCCACCATGGTTGTGGCTGAGGTAAGGAAATTTATGATTACACCACTGTATATTGACGATGCCCAGGGTCTAAGCCTTTGATAATTATTAATTACCGTAATGATGCAAAGAATATACTATTTGATACATAGTAAACATAAACTCTAGAGTAGTATAAATCATGAAAATGATCATTAAAAAGAATTAGAAGTGATTAATTACAAGTTTTTTGAAGTCTCATGGGAAAAACACATGAATGATACTGGATGAATGTAGGTTCATTAATTTTTATTTATTTATTTTATTTTTTTTATACTAGCATCCCCTGTCGGTGCCACTGCAAATAAGTAAAGAATGGTCCATCATAAAATTTACTGGAATGGTACATAATAATCTAAGAAAGATATGATTAAATTTTTGAAAGAGAACATCAAAGGACAAGGTTAAGGTCACGGAAATTCAACTTGTTTACCTGACCATAAAAGAAAATAATGGAATTGCCCATCATACATGGCATGCGTATTGTTTGGTATTCAGGCCAGTGGCGGCTCTAGGATATAATTTATGGGGGGGTGGTAAGATGTTCGACTGGGGAGGGGGGCTAAGTATTTATGGATGTAATTATAGCGCGCAGCGTTATCTGATGCCCCAAGGCCAAGCCAGGGGTGGGTATGGGAGGGGTGTCCCCTCCTCCCAAAATGAGATTTTTTTTTAAAATTGGGACTCCTAGATGGCCGGAAATGGCTGGGATGGGAAAACTAGGCCTTTTTTTTTTTTTTGGTCCGACTGCCCGACGAGCTTTGGCCAATGAGGGGGGCTTGACCAGACCGATGGGCTTGACCAGACCGATGGGGGGCTTAAGCCCCCCTGCTGGCGCCTCCACTGATTCAGGCACAGGGTGGAGGTATGTAGCCTAATCTATGGAGTGACTGTTCTTCTCTTATGTAACACAGAATTATTATTTAATTGTGTTTATACATGGGTACAGTATATTGATAATTAGGATTTTTATAATAATAATAATTAATTTAATCACACTAATGCTTGTTCACCTTAATGGTATTTATCAACAAGGCGGTTAAGACATTGAAAATTGTGAAACAGAAATCGAAACCAAAGAGAAAAAAGTCAAGTAGCATAAGAATATAAAATCAAATTATGAAACTAACAACATAACTGAACTATTAAATATTAATATACTCTTGCATCATATTATACTGTAATAATTGTATGAACCTTCAGTTTTGAATTAAAGCTAGAGAACGTATTCAAGTTTTTATTGGTTATTCTACTAAAATACCTAATTTATATTCTATGGCACTTTAAGTTCAACATAAATATAACAATAAATATAATATATATATATACCATGCTATTGCCAAGGCCTTGAAGTTGGTGTATCCATCGGAAACAGCCTTAAAAATTGCGACTCTCTCAGCACACAAGCCCAGTGTGTATGATGCATTTTCAACATTGCAACCTGAAAATATCAAATAAAAATGTGTAAACGCACCACAAATTTCGTCTGACAAAATAAAAGGAATAAATTGATTTAAAACCATTTATACCAACACGGTTGGTATAAAGTGCTACATAAATTCAACTACATTAATAAGATTTTATTCCTCACATACAAGTCTCTCAAAATAGGGCTACGCAATATATTGTTCAACTTCTGAAGTCTTTTTCTGTAACATGTTCTCGGTCTCTGAGATCAACCACTGACACATCTATACTCTCAGTTCTAGCATCACATCTGAAGACCTACAGAGACAGGCCTTTTCTGTAGCTGCCCCAAAGTTTTGGAATTCCTTACCTGCAGATCTTTGTGAGACATCCTCACTCTTAGTATTTTAAGAAGAAATATTTAAGAAGAAATTAAAAACTATCTTTCACCATGTTTAACTTAATAAATTCATATTTTACATTTTTTTTCAGTAGCTAAGTTTTTCACCCTGAAAAGTCACGGCGGCACCGCCTTACTTGTGGTTGTGCCGCCAAGCAGTGCAGGGGCGGATTTAGTGGGGGGCCGGCCCGGCCCCGGCCCCCCCCTTTTGGGAGGTAAAAAAAGAAAAAGAAAGAAAAAAAAAGAGAGAAAAAGGAAAAAATGATGGCCAAGAATGCCTCAAATGTTATGTTCGGGCGTCTAGAACACAAAAATTTCGCGGGGGCATGCCCCCGGACCCCCTACGACAATGTTGTCTCAATCGGCCCAACTTTCGGCCCCCCCTTCCGGCCCCCCCCTTTTGGACATTTCTGGATCCGCCCCTGCAGTGCATGGTAGTATAGCCGCGGGCTTATCCTTTCTGGAAACTACCGGAGCCCAGCTTATACTGGCGCCGAAGTACCTAGGTGTACATGGTCGTGATGGTGACATGGTGACGCTGTGATCTCAAAATTGGGTGTGTAAATCTTCCTCCTCCCGTTCGCACTTGTTCATATATTAAATTTTAGTTTCTCAGCGGCTAAAACACGCCTTAGGATGGTTTTTACTGTGAAAGGCTCTATAAAAATACATACCATTGGAATTGACCATGATTGATAGATGCAAATATGGTAGATGTTTACTGTGTACATGGTAAGTTGACCATGTCCAATCTGGACAGGGTTTCTAGGCTGGAAAATGTTTCACTCACCTCTAATTGTTTTCCCCTCTTCCGTCAAGATAGCGGCACCAACTCGGAAGTTACTGTAAGGCGAGTGCGATTTTTTTTTTGCTTCATGTGCACTTTCTATCAATTTCTTTATTACTTCAGGTGTTACTAAAAAATCAATAGTTTTTAAATTTCAAAATTTGTCATGGATGTAAAAGTCTGGTCTTGTACATCTAAATGGAAAGCAAGATGTTTTGAATTGCTCAGAGGAATGTGGGATTATCCTTGCCTTAAGCCCCCCCACCGGGCAGGTCAAGCCCCCCACCCCCCGCCGGACAGAGCTTGTCGGGCAGTCAGACCATAAAACATATAAAAATAGGCCCACACCAAGCCAACACATGTCTGTCACAGTCTGAGAGTGCCATTTTCAGCCATCCAGAGGTTGATATTTTTTTTTTAAATCTCATTTGGGAGGGCCAACCCCTTCATCCAGCTCGAGCCTACGAGCTCAAATCCCCCTGTCGGACAACTTATCCCCCCAGAAAATATATCCTAGAGCCGCCACTACCTGGGAAGCAGATGTGTTAAAGGTTTTACATTTTATAATGTGGACCCTGGTTGTCCAGGGTTTGGTTTGGTGTTATTGGTGGAAATTCCAGGTCTATATTCCTTTAGTTCATGAATTCCGCCATATGACAGATTATACATGGTTCCGGTTCATCTATTCCAAAATTCCCTGTATGTCACAGCAGATAAACTCTGGAACTCCCTTCCTAGTCTTCCGTTCCCAAGCAAACATTATTTCTATTAAAACTACATTTTGTAACTATTTCATTTATTTAATGAATGTAAAAATTTTATCTTTTTCTTCAATATATATTTAAATGTATTGTGACAAATTTTTAATAAATAAATAAAATAAATATTGATAATGGTAACTTTTAAACCTATTCCAGATGGATTCAAGCGGGCCCCAGCCAGGTCCCTAAATTTAATTGTCATTAGTTCTATTTCCAGCTGTCTAGAAGTATAGACATAAAACTTCGCACCTCAGCACCCAGCCATAGTGGGGTTGAGGTAATAATAATAACAATAATAATAATAATAATAATAATAATGAAGTCTTATATAGCGCATAATACAAGAAAGTTACCCCTATGCGCTTTACATAAAAAACAAAAGAAACGTAGCCATGAAGTATCCAAATACTACAAAGAAAACTAATAACGAAAATGGCATAAATGGCAGAAGAATAACTTCCACTGCTCCGTTCTCCAGCACTTTGAAGCCTCTAAAGTTAGGGGCTCGCTGGAACAGTATTCACAGGATACTGGTAGTATCATGGAACCCGAGATCTGTAAAATCGCCTTTCTAGGCCCTCTCTACTTCAAATTCCTGGATCCACCACTGCATTCTGTGAACAGGATGGTACACTGGCTTTGACAGGGAGCACAATTATTGATCTTCACCAGTTTCCTTGGTCATAATTAACACATGACATAAAAGCTTGTATTCAGAAAGAAAAAAAATAATAATCCAATTTGACAGCCCTAATATTAACTGTTCATTCACTTAATAATTCACTTCCTGTCATGCCTGTGTATTATCATGTCTGGTGATAAATAAATTGGACATATATATAACGACTGTGGCATTGACTATAATTCTGAACTTGGCAAAATCTAAAATTTCACTAGAAAATTTAAAAATTGTCTTGGACATAATGGTTTGTTCCGAGTGTTTTTAGTTGTTTCAAATTACAGGCAATAATAGTACTGTATTACTGATGGCTCAATTTTTCATCGGATTCACACTAATTAAAGATCATCAGCTGAAAAAGTTGAAAAATTCACTTTCATATTTGAATTGCCGAAGCTAGGTGAGATTTAGTAATGATGATTTCAAAATAAATATAAATTTTTATTTTAGGCCAACCCACCACCACGAAAAGTTTTATTTTCACAGTATTACGCCTGCAGCTGCCTTGAAATTTCCAAAAATAAGATACTGTATGTATAGTTTTTCCTAATTATATAAATTTGAAGTATTTAACCATCCCATTTCTATCCCCATCTGGATGTTTTTGGCAGAACTATTTGCTAAATAAGAAAACTAAATTTTATTTTAATTTTGTTTTTCGCCCTCCTCTGACAATCTTTAAAAAACGCAAGTCTGCGAAAAAAGTTATTAAAAAAGTCTTGCCCAATTTGTATTTAATTAATTTATTAACTTATGATTACAAATTTTAATGAGAAAAATTGTCCCTGTCTATTAACAAACAATTAAATAATACCTTTAATACTTTTCCGGTATTCTTTTGCATAGATCCTCTAATTGGCTGGAAATAAATTTAAAGATTTTGTAAAAATATCTGTCAATCTGTGAAAACTATATTTTTCTGTTTCTGGTTGGAAGTTAATAATATTTATGATCCAGTTAAATATTATAAGCTATTCAAAATTTTAATTTAATTTATTAGGTTAGCTATTTTTTTGGAAGGCAGACAGTACATCTTTTTAAACAGCCAGACAGGATGAACATTGGTGACTCACTTTTTCTTTGGTTTCACAATGATTATTAAATTTTTGTCACTGCTGGTTGGGACATACCTTGGAAAGTGATTAGGTTCGGTGTTGGAGTCCCCCGGGCCAGCATTTGTGACATTTTAGTTTCTTTTTTGAGTTTGACTTTTGCTTGTTTGTTGTTCATTTTTTTCCAGAATAAATTTAATTGGATTGATCAATTAAAGATTACGTAAAAGAACACAGATTTAAAGAACTAGATTCACCGCATGACATATACACACAGACAGTCACTAAAGTCACGCAAGAGGAGTCATACGAAAATCAATTTAAAACACAGCAAGTTGCATATTGAAATAAATTATATTAACAGCAAGATAATTATGCAGCTTGGAGGGATGGAATTTGACTGCGAGTATATAGTTGAGTATAACTAAGATCTATTTCATTATCCCCATGAACTACAACACTCAGCCACAAAGCTGCGGGATAAACAGAACCGACCGGTCGTCGACTGGCCACCACAAAATTAGTCTCTTGAAGTATTGGTTGGAACCTGAATTTCACTTCTACTGTAGATCCTGGGATTTGAATTTTCACCATATACTTTAGTTCTCCGTGATATGAAATTGGGTTAGATTTTTTGCAATGGACTTTATAAATGGGAATTCATCTTTTCACAAAAAACAAAAATAAAATAAAATAATGACCATTATTCAGACTGGCAGTATGTCCTATAATGTGGAAGTATGGTTATTCAATTCAAACCAATATCTTGTTTCGGAATATTGTGGTAAAGCCAGCTGTTTCTCATTCTCTGGGTTTTTGCCCATATGGGGTTTTTGTCGGGTTTTTCCTACTTTTGCTTCAACCAAACCATCTTATGTTGTGTCTATATATTTCTCTCATGTCCATTTAATACCTATTTTTGTTTTTAAGTTATGTTTTATCTTTTTTATTTTTACTGTTTTAATGTGTCCCTTTCCCATTTTGTTATTTTTTCCCTCCAATTTACCCCTTTAAAGGTAAAGGTAGGAGAATAATCCATAACTTGCAGCTTCAAAATCAGTTAAAATTTGAAAAAAAATGTTTTTAAAACATGTGAAGTTGCATTTCAAAGCAAAGTCTTCACGTTTTTCAAAAATTCTGTATGCAAATTTAGCAACGTAGAAACAAATGTCACCTTCTCTGGTTTTCTGATAAGTTGGAAAATAAAGTTTATATAATTTGAGTTAAGACAAAATGTTTGTGCCAATTTACCATCCAGATGCGTGCACAGCTCTGGAAGAAATGTATCGTAGCACCACTCTTTTAAATGTCTTAACATTACTGGCATATTGAGTTCCTATTTATGTCCATTAAAATATCGTGAAAGCATCATTTTATAATAACAGCAATCTATAAAAAATTTTGGACTAGGTCACTACACACTACACAAAAGCATCACACGTGAAAAATCATTATTCAAATTATGTTAGTACAATAGCCTACAGTGAAAGGAGCAGCATAGCATTCAGTATGTAGTAGGTCAGTGGAACGTACCACTTCAGTGAGTGCAGCTGATACAAACGTGTATATGTTCACTAAATATAATGGAATAAAATATATTATAAAGTGACCATATTAGTCACTAAAATAAGTTAGTATGTGACGGATAAGTATTACATCCATCACAACATTTTAGCATGTATTGTTTTAATCAATTTTTACCATATTCCGTATTGTTGGCCTATTTTACCTGCTTTAATATTATAAACAAAATTATTATTGGTTCATGTTCTTTGTTTAAAAGGTAATTTGACTTTCACTTGCAAAGGTCTTTTTAAAATTATAGTTAAAGACGTAGCAGTATTCAATATTATGCTTTAGAATATTCTGTTATGGCAACACTTGCAGCATTTGGTCGCTATGGGCTTCAAAGAATGATTATTTAAATTACTCCTGGGCAGATGCATAGGGTGTGATGGTTGTTACGTCCGGACCCCCACCCACCATCCTTAACATATTAGAATGCTTTTTAGCTGGCAAAATCTTGTACAGTGGTTGGGTAAATAGTCAGCAGCTTTTTTTTTCTTCTTGGGGGGGGGGGTATCATTAGAATAGTTTTCAGGATAACTTGTTGGCTCTTAAGTCTCTCACAAGATGGAGGGTGACAAGGCTAGAAGACAGTTCCAAGTCATTAAAACTATGTTATTTATACAGAAGTTCCCTTCTTTCTACACCGGCCCCTTCCTGTAAATATCTGGACCCGCCCCATACCTCAAAGTGTTTTAATATTAATAATTCAGAGCATAATTAATCATAAATTGAAAAAAACTATAAAACAATGGAACTCGATATCTTCAATGTTGCCAGTGTTATAGAGTACAAATTATTTTATGTAAATCTACCAGTTTCAATAGCAATTGGGGCACAGACAAACCTAAAGAATGACTTCCCTGAGACATCTCTTTATGTGACTACAGTATAACATACCTCAGCGGAAATTTCAAATCTATAAATTCAGTAAGTTCAAGCTTATTTGTTGCAGCTGTGTATTTTCTCTATCATTTTCACTAAACAAACAAGCTATTAATACTATGGATGAACAGATTTTCTGCATTTGTTTATTGTGTTGTAACTTGCATCCAACGTTTACTGTACTTTGCCCTAGGCCTCCTACTGTATGTAATTTTATATCACTTGATTTTAATTTCCGTTGTATTTATTGATGATTCGTGGGATCCAGGCATGGACTCCACGTATTCATTAAGTTCAGTCCATTCCGCCAACGAATACAACACGTACTCAGTACTGTACATGAATTTTATAGAATAGCTATCGATCTGTCATCTAACCATTCATCCCAAACACAAAATACAATAAAACGTACTCACGATTGTTGGAATCATTCTGTGCAGCCTCCATTTCAATTTTTAATAAAACGTACTACTATATCGACGTCTAATTGAAAAAAAAAACTAAAAGCAAACTTCCAGCGTGCGAAAATACCGTACTACACAAATTGTAAACAAAACAGCTTGCGTAAATTGTCAAGAAAACTGAGATGGCGCTGTTGAATGAAATGCCTAACGAAAAGTAACAACAAAGACGAAAATTTACCCACGCCTCGCTCTATAGTACATACTGTATATTATTGTTTAGCTTCGGGCTCTTTGAAAAAAAAACATTGTTATCCATTAATTGGCATTAAACGGACTGGGTATAATACTGATGTTGCGATTATTTTTCCTTGTAATTGCAAAGACTTTTTTAAAGGCAAAATGTGTGATCAGGGATGTCTTGAACAAACTCCCGCCCTCCCCACTCACTTTTTTTTGTTAATTACAGTACTTGCAGTTTCAAACAGCAATTTTTGTATCCTCCATGTATTTTCGCGAACACCACGTGCGCTAAACGTGACGCACAAGTGTATTGCGTTGTTCTAACAAAGTTTTGATGGTGACTGACTGGGAGTACGCACGATTGCCGTGATTGGCACACGTGCGCGGCCCTGATGACGTCAATTAAAGGTTCAGTTACTATAAACATCTCACGATATTTCAAAGCATTTGACTCTTTTATAAATCCCTTTTTATTTCATTACATTTTTCAAATATACAGAATAAAAAGTACAAGGTGAATGGAGGCATGAGAGGTCACTCAAATAATCACAAAAGACGTAAGTATAAAACCAATGCAATCATTATTATTATTATTTACAAAATCCCTTCTGATAGGCCTATAATATTTTCAGAATTGCAACATTGTATATTTACTTTTAAGTATGCTGCCCTCTCTTGGCAACGAAGTCGTGCAGAAACAAATTTACAAGAGCCTTAAAGTACAATAACATCTTAAATGTTCACTTTGACGCAACGTTTGTCAAAATGGAGTCTATACTTCAGTTTTTTAATTTCTTTGTCTAGAAATCAAACTGAAATGTAGGCATGCCCCCGAGACTCAGAAATATAATCAAATATAATTTACTATGATTTTCAGGTTAGGTGCAACCTATAAGCTTTTCTAGCTTAACCATAGTTCCACTAACTATGTGTGAGCGTTATCAGTCAGTTGTATGAACGAGGGCCTGGGAGTTAGATCTGCATGTATAGCATATGTCTCCTTGGTCTAATGGTATGATACAGGTTGCATGTTCAAATCCCACCAGACACTTTTTTTCATAAAACTGAACCAATCAAAACTCTTAGTCAAGTACATACAAAGACACAAACTTGTGTCAAAATATCTCGCCAATCTATTGCACTACAAATATTACTCTTCAACTTTTTAATTCTATTCACTGTAAAATATGAAAATACCAAAACATATACAATCGTGATGAGCAGAAAAAAGTGAAAAATGCAATACAATATTTCAATTGTTTTCTTTGTATATTAAAGGAAGATATTAACATTTAAATTTGAATAAGCAAAAAACTCCCTTTACCTATTAACAGGCTTACAGTATAAATAATATGGTTTCTACATACTTTTTGCATAGAACCGTAAATTGGATGATAATTAATAAATTAATACATTTTTGCATTTGCATTTCAATAAAACTTAGTACAGTAACATACTTGGTGATAATCTTTAATTGAATTTTTAATGTTTTGTAGCTATAAAATTGTGGCGATTTATTATATTATTATTTATTGTTCTTGTTTTAATATTATTGTTCTTGCTGTTCCTATTATTACTGTTGTTATTATTAATAATAATATTATTATCATCATCATTGTACTTATAATTACTATAATATCATTACAGTATTATTAGTACAAATTACAAAATCATTATTGATACTATCAGAATTGACATCACATCATCATGATTAATGTTATCATTGTCATCAAAATTGTCATTGATCATTGTTACTATAATTGTCACTAAATTAAATACTTCAGTTTTATGCTAAAAGTGAATCAATTTGGCATGGTTCAATTAAAAATAATTAATTAGATTATGTAACTTATGTAACATTGAAATTTACAGCAGAGTTTTAAAAACATACAAAAAACAACCAAGAAATGACCTCTAAACTCAAAGGTCAATGTTAACAGAAAGATCTGTGCTGCAATCTGAATGTGTTAGCCACCATTGCTATGACATCATAAATTATATGAATATTCATGAAAACTTTGCACCAATTAGAATTCATGATTAGAAGGCAATTACCAACGCAGCTATTAATCCATAAAATATTAATGACGGCAACCATGTTTTCACAACACCACATACTCTGCAAGAAGAAAAGAAGTTTAGAATGTTATAAACATTCTAAAATGTGGTTTTTTAACCAATTACACGCACAATTTTGTATATTAATTTATATCAGATTAAAATTCCAGAACTTGCACAAAATGTATGTGTAAATTTGGTCTTTTAAGTAATGGATGTCTATGTGGGTATTTAGTGCCTGAAAATCTTTCAGAGGAACACCATTCAGAAACAGTAAAAAATAGTAAGACTTCAATTCATCCATTGTTTTAATCATTTTTTAGTTTCTATAGATGTATTTATCCATTTGGTATATACAGTATAACCTATTTAATATTGTACTATGTAAATGTAGATTACTTTTATTCATGTTTCTGAATTTAAGGTATCATTTCAGGGACAGCTAATGAATACTTCCAAGTAGGCCTATAAAGCTCATGTTTAGATAAAACTGCTGCAAATATTGCGGTCACCATCTGATCATGACGAAGTTAGTGGCACAGTCTATAGGCATTCAGCAAAATGGGATTCGTCCAAAGTGGGAGTACATAATCTAGTGATCAGCAAACTGTTAACGTCTGCAATCTGTCCTATGATAAAGTGGGTTTCGGAAGCGTGAAGTTGGCAATTTGACATTCAGCAAACTGGATTTCCACAGACTGTCTCCATACCATTTTAAAGGGCAAAATAATTCCATAAACATCAAGCAATTTCTCTTTAATATAATTATTTACACTGTTATGCAATTTTTATATTGTATTGTGTATTTCAAATGTTTTATACTCTTAAAGAGAAAACAGATTGCTAGCGTCATATTGAACAATAACTTCAGCCTTGTCCAGATTATTAAAAATTGATGACATCACATCATGACCATATATAGGCACATTACGACTATATATGGGCATACAACAGGTTTTTATAGCGTGGACGAAGCTTTAGCTGATCTTATAGTTAATAAACACCTGATTAGAGAACTTTTGGTTTTTTCGACGACACAACACTAAAACGAAATCACTCATGCGTGACCTCTGCATACGTAGATTTGGCCAAATTGCATCCAAGAATCCACACGAGGAGAACTTAATTATCTCACATGTGCAGATGACTTTTAGTGTCATTACGTCCTACCATCGTCGTGCAATGGAAAGCTCCCTACTGATGTACAATACATTACTTACCCAACATATTTCCCTGTAAAAAACATCTTTGCTGCCAGCTTAACCATGTTCCATTGTTTACTGTCTTGGTAACGCATGTCATTTAGCGCCATCGCAACATGAGAGTGGCAATTGTCACAGCATAGGTTGTGCTTTGAAGAGAAAATATCACAATATTGTAGTAATATTAATATTAAAACATTTATAATGTATCTTATTATAAAACATACCCCAAATAAAGTAAGACTAGTCATTTTGATTCAATATTTCGATCTTTTATTAGATCATCATCAGGAATGAATAAAGATTCCGACATTACAAACATATATTCCAGAGGTGTTACAGAAAATTAACCAATGAGAAACAGTCAGTAATGTAGCCAATAAGATTCAGAATTAAGTGTTGGTGATTAAGTATAAAGTA